CTCAGGTATGATTAGGGGCTCTGGTGTATGATTAAAGGCTCAGGGGTGTGATTAGGGCCTCAGATGTAGCATGGCTAGCAGTGGCCATCTCATGGGCTTTTCTGGTGGTCCATCCTGGGGTCAGGAGGAAAAACCTCTGTGCAGTACCCCTGGCCACACTGCCCTGCTCTCTGTTCTCAGCACCCCTAAGCCCAGAATGTGCTTCCCCCTGGCCCCTGCAGAGGGCGAGCTCAGGCTGAGTCCAGGCCTCCTTCCTGTCCACCCCCGCTGCCTCCCTCAGCTCCTCTCCAGGGTCCCAGGGTCCCTCCTGCCACAGGAGGAAGGAGCAGGAGGCCTGGGCGTGGCTTAGCCTCTGGCGAGAGGGGCCCTGTGAAGGTGCCAGACACAGGGGGCCAGCGTCAAACCCAGGCTGCTCCCCTGAGGGAGTGGCCGGGCTCTCTGGGAAAGGCTGTGGTGCGGCCTTCTGCCCACAGCCCTGCTTCCTGGGTCTTGCGGGGTGTCTCCTCTGGCGGCAGGAACCTGAGCCTGCTGCTGCTGTGGGCGCCACCGTGGCACTGCCTCCCGCCCTGGGCTGTGCTGAGCACTGAGTTCTAGGGGTGCCCAGGCTGCCCCAAGCCCTCAGGTCCGTGTGTTCTCCTCCGGGCTGCTCCTGGGCCTGCAGCCTCTCAGGAGCCCTAGCCGCCCTCCACCGGGCTGCAGGGGCCAGGCAGGGCCAGCTCAGGCCTGCGTCTGGGGCAGGGTCAGGGCTCTTCTGAGGCGAGCCTGGCACACAGGGGCCCCGCTTCTGTGTCAGCCCCCAGTCTCCACTGGGACCTGCCATTCCCCTCATCCCCACTGCCACCCGTGAGTCCCCACGGGCCCTCGAGAGTCCCCACCATCCCCCATGAGTCCCTACTGTCTCCTGTGAGTCCCCACTGTCCCCCGTCAGTCCCCACCATCCCCTGTCAGTCCCCGCTGTCCCCGTCAGTCCCCACTGTCCCTGTGAGTCCCACTGTCCCCATGAGTCCTCACCATCCCTGAGTCCCTTCTGTCCCCTGTGTGTCCCCAATGTCCCCCGTGTGTCCCCCGGGCCCCGTGAGTCCTCCCGGACCCACTGTCCCCTCTCACCCAGAGAAGGCCTGGAGGCCGGTGTCCAGCAGCCCTTGGGAGCATCTGTGTCTGCTCCTGTCTCCCCCTTCTCAGTGCTGGAGTTTGAATGTACAAAGCCTCCCCTTCCCGGAGGATGGCCCGAGCCCAGGGCATGCGAGCAGTGCCGGTGACCAGACTAGGGTGGGCGCAGGGACAGATGCCACAAGCCAGGGGTGTTGCTCAGCTGGGAGAGCTGCTCCGTCAGGCGCTGAGCCAGGTCAGGGAACAGCCGAGGCTGGGCAGGGCCTTCTGAGCCCCAGCGCGGGTGAGTAACTTCCTCACTGGCCAACACAAATGCACAGGCGCAGCCACTGAGAAGAAACCACACATCGTTTCTGCACCGGTCACCAGAGGGGGTGCTTTTCTGCAGGTGTCGGGCTGCCCGAGTGACCACAGCACTGCAAGCACGGGCTTCAATGTGCCGTGGCAGGTGCCTTCTTATCGCCAGTGATGGACATGCTGCTGCTGCAGGCCTGGACGATGGGGCAAAGTCAAGCACAGTGGCTCTGTCTCTCCTCACGCAGCAGGCTGTTGGCCGGGCATGGATCTGCAGGGTCGGTGCCAACACGGGCTCCACGGAGCGGCCAGGCCACGGGGCCACACCCGGTTCCAGCGTCATGGCTTCTCGCACCCCTTCCAGCCCAGCAAAGCCTGAAGCACGAATTCTAGACCCATCTGGAGCCCCTGGTCCCTGGCACCCGAGTCCTCGAGGGCTAGAGGTGGTCACGCATGGTCAGTCTGGAGCGGGAGGGCAAGGGTGTGGGCAAGCTGGCTCGGTCCTGCCCCGGAGGTGCAGGGGTTTGGCGGCCCCTGGGCCACAGAGGCACCGGGTGCTGCCAGCCGGGTTCACACCACCACCTGGCCGCAGAGGCCACAGGACTGCAGAAGACACATGTGCCCTTGTCGCTCCTGGTCGCGGCCCCTGCACCCACTTGTTGCTGCTGTCCTCTCCCCTGCCCTGGCCACACGGCACAGCCGGGAAGCCAGCTGCCGACAGCCTGCGCTTCCGCTGGGAGAGAGCCTGCAGTGGGAGCACGAGCTGGGGTCAGCACGAGACCCGAACGTAAGACTCTGTCAGGAAGGGGGTGCCAGGCGGGAGGGACGCTGGCCCTGGTGGTGCCTGTGGGGCTGGAACATGCTGATCTGAAACTCAGTTGTTAACTGTGTGACTCATGGCACCTGCAGAAAAATGGGAAAGAAAAGAGAATCAAACTTTGATGAACATAATCGTGATTTTTTTACAAAGTCCCGAAGTGCAGGGAACTTGGTTCCTGGAAGAAAATGATGTGTCTCGGACGTGGTGGATGCCCCAACTTGGGGTGTCCTCATGGTGAGTGTGTTCGTGATGTGGGTGTGTCCCTAACCTGAGCAAGCACCCAGCGTGCATGTGTCCACTGATGTGTGCATTTCTGTGATGTGGGAGTGTTCGTGATGTGGGCGTATCCATGATGTTGGTATGTCTGTGATGGTGGCGTGCCCATGACATGGGTGTGTTCGTGACATGGGTGTCAGTGATATGGGCGTGACCGTGATGTGGGTGTATCTGTGATGTGGAAGTGTCCGTGAGGTGGGTGTGTGCATGATGGGTGTGTCCACGACAGGCAGTGTCTGGGGTGTGGGTGGGTGCATGATGGGTGTGTCCACGACACGGGCATGCCTGTGGTGTGGGCAGATGCGTGATGGGTGTGTCCACGACACAGGCATGTCTGTGCTGTGGGCGTGTGCATGATGAGTGTGTCCATGACTTGGGTGTGTCCGTGGTGTGGGCGTGTGCATGATGGGCGTGTCCATGACACGGGCAGGTCTGTGATGTGGACGTGTGCATGATGAGTGTGTTCATGACTTGGGTGTGTCTGTGGTGTGGGCGGGTGCATGATGGGGTGTGTCCCTCCCAGTGTCTGCCAAGATGGTGTCTTCCTTATTGAAAGGCTCTGGTTAGCAGACAAGCCCCTTTGTGAGTGGAAAGTACCTGGATGGGTGTGCTCCGGGCTCCTGTCCAGCACCGTCACCCCAACACTCCCTCCACAGGTAGCTGGGGGTAACGCTGCCTCCTCTGACCCCTGTGCTGGCCCCCCACGCACTGGGAGGGGCGACATCCCCCAGGCAGGCTTCCTGAATCTCTTTCCTCATCCGCAAACCTCAGCCAAAAGTCACAGGAGATTGTGGTACTCTGCTGATTCTGGTCTCACATTCCCACAAGGCCTCACACACAGGGTTGCACAATGTCATACAGGAGGTCACAAATGGGGTCACCTATGAGGTTGCACATAGGGTCACACACAGGGTCACTTATGGGGTCACACATGGGCTCACACACGGGGTCACATGGGATCACACATGGGGCCGCACATGGAGTTGCACACAGGACCACAAATGAAGTCACACATGGGATCATGCATGGGGTCACACACAGGCTCACACATGGGATCACATGGGGTCACACATGGGGTTGCACATGGAGTTGCCCACAGAATCACAAATGGGGTCGCACAAGGGTCACACACAGGGTCACACAAGGGGTTGAACATTGGGTCACACACGGGGTCACACACAGGGTCACACAGAGTCGCACACAAGTCACACATGGGGTCACACATGGGGGTCACACTTGGGTCGCACACGGGATCACACACATGGGGTCACACACAATGTCACACATGGGGTCACACATGGGGTCACACACAGGCTCACACATGGGGTCACATGGGGTTACACATGGGATCGCACATGGAGTTGCCCACAGGATCACAAATGGGGCCGCACATGGGTCACACACAGGGTCATACATGGGGTCGAACATTGGGTCACACACGGGGTCACACACGGGGTCACACACGGGGTTGCACACGAATCACACATGGGGTCACACATGGGCTCACACACCGGGTCGCACACGGGCTCGCACATGGGTCTCTCATGGGAGGGTTCCCCGGTTGAGGTCCAGCCCACACCTCTGTGCCGACCTTCACAGACCCCACGACTGGGTCCCTCATCAGCCCGAGGCTGTCCATGCTCTGTCATCCCCTGGCCCCCACAGGCCATAGGCGTTGGACCCAGGACCACAGCCCCATTGTCCCTGAGGAGGCCCTAGTCGCTGTGGGATGCAGCAGGAGGCAGAGAGCACCTGCGTCCGGGTCCGCTGGCCTGGGGCGCTCGGCGTGTGCGGCTGCAGGGGAAGCCGCCCTGGGCCTGGAAAGCGTGGCACCCACCCAGGGGACCCTGGGCGCCGTGGCACGAGCATCTGAGCCAGGGCAGGGCGGAGGACGGGACGGGGGCAGCAGAACTCCCAGCAGCCGAGCGAGGGGCCGGGCGGGGTGGGCGGTGAGCGCTCGAGTCCCTTCGTGCCCTGCTCCCAGGGCAGAAGCCGGGGTGAATGTCACCCAGGAACGAGCTGGGTCAGAGCGGGGGCAAAGCCACCTCAGTTCCCCGGGCCGAGGCCGGCCCGAAGTGCTGACAGGGAGCCCGGCTCCCCTCCAGGTGGCTGCAGGGCCCGGGTGCGGGGCCCCTTTAGTCATTGTTGAAGCCAGCTATGACTGGCGAGCAGGGAGTGGGGGCCAGCGCGCGCCTTCGCGGCTGCAGCGCCCCTTTGAAGTCGTGGCACGGGGTGTCGACAAACCCACGGCCTGGCCGGCTGCTCGCTGGAATCCACCCATCTCTCTCCTTCCTGTCGAAGCTGCCGATGGGGCATGTTCGTGGCCATCCCTGCCCCCACACCCCTCGGCACACGCACGCCAGCCAGTGGAAAAGAAAATCGTTACTCACCTTGGTCCACCTTGCAGAGGTTTCCAGCGCGTTGGGAGGCGCTGCCTCTCCCTGAGGATGGATAAATAGGAGCTTTGCTGACAAGCCGCCACAGCCCGGCCACCGGCACCATGCTCCGCCTTGTCCTCTGCCTGGTGGTCACGATGGGCCTGGGCACTGCAGCCCACACGGCCGGTGTCCAGGGGCCTGACCGCCTCCTGATCCGAATGCGCCACCTCCTAGATATTGTTGGCCACTTGCAAACTCTGGTGGACAAGCTGGTAAGGGCTGGCCGGTCCCAGGGACGGCCCAGAGCTCCCGTGAGTGGAAAGGAAAGGCACCCCACTCACAAAAATAACAACAATTCTTCTCACTCTAGGGTCCTGCCACGCTGCCAGCCCCACGGGATGTCAAGGTAAGGCCAGGATCTTCTATGCTTGTGGGAATCCAGAGGAAAAAGTCATTAACATAATTACTTAAGATGCTTTATTTTGTTGGATTTTGAGTCAAGTGGTTGGTAAAATGCTTATTCTAATATTGGCCAGACACTTATTGGTTTACCATAGGTCAACCAATTAACACTATATTGCTTACAGAGTGCTGTAAATATTCTAAGTATCTTTAAGATACCAGGTAGGAGATATGCCAGAGAGTAACAAACTTAGGAAATAACTCTGCACTATGGTCATTTTCTGAACAACAGATTATATCTAAAGATCCTATGTGCATGAAAATTCTTGAACCCTAAATTCATAAACTTAGGGTTACACATAGGACTAAAAAAAAAAAGGTAAAGGCCCTCCCGTTGATCGTCGATTTGCTCGAGCGGGCCCAGTAACGTCTCCATTGGAGACTTTGTTGTTACTGTGTCTGGCATATCGAATACTCTCGGTAGCTTGCCGGGCTCTCCGAGAGGGGCGGAGGAATCGAACTCGGGTCGGCCATGTTGGCCGCTTGTAAGGCGAACGCCCTACCCGCTGTGCTATCGCTCCAGCCCAAACACAATTTTTCATTACGAGAGAGAAAGAAGCAAAGAGAAAAAAGAGGGAAGAAGGAAGGTGGAATGAAAGAATGAAGGGGAGGGTCAGGAGAGAGGGAAGGAGGGAAAGAGAGGAGGGAGGGAGGGAGGGAGGGAGGGAAGCAAGGAGGGAGGGGAGGAGGGAGGGAGGAAAGGAGGGAGAGAAGGAGAGAGAGAGGGAAGGAGACAGAGAGGGAAGGAGGGAGAGAGGGAAGGAGGGGAGAATGGTAGGGAAGAAGGGAGGGAGAAAAGGGAAGAAGGGGAAGTGGGAAGGAGGGAAGAAAGGAGTGGAGGACAGAAGGCAAGGAAGAGGGAAGGAAGAGAAGGAAGGAGGGAAGGAAAGAGGGAGGGAAGAAAGGCAAGGGAATGAGAGAGGGAGGAAGGAGGGAGGGAATGAAGGAAGGGAGGATGGAAGGAGAGGAGGATGAGAGGAAGGAGGGGAGGGAAGGAAGAAAGGGAGGGAGGAAAAGAGGGAGGGTTGGAAGGAAGGGAGGATGGAAGGGAAGGAGGGTGGGCAGGAGGGCAGGAGTGAGTGTGTGTGCGGGGGCCAGGGCTGCAGGGACCCCGGGGCTGTGAGAGGAGTGAAGACCCTTTCTGCGGACACAGCCCCTGTACCTTAAGGAAACAGCCCGGCGTCGCTGAGGCTTGGGAAGGGCGTCCCAACAGCGGGGGATGTGGGAGTTGGGGTGCTGGGGGCACCGTGTGGCTGTTGGCCCCTCGGTGGCAGGCGCCGTAGCTGGAAGGGCTGCCAGTAAGGAGAGCCTGGGGCCGTGATGGTAAACGGCTGACTGGGACGTGGGTGAGTCACAGGCGCCTTTCCTCCGAACCCCGCGCCCCGAGCGCAGCACTCCACCAAGGGCTCCCACCCCCTCCCAGCAGGAGGAACGCCTGTCGGTGCTTCTGTTTTCTCTCTGGACACACCCAGAGGTGCTGGAGGGTCCTCTCAACTCAGTACTCAGGGGTTGCTCCCAGCTGGGCTCCAGGGACCACGGTGCTGCGGCTCCAAGCCGGGCCCCTCAGACCCCCAAGCTCGCTCTGCCCGGGAGAAGCACGTCGTGGTGTGCCCCGACAGCTGCATCTGAGGGGATGGTAGCCAGTAAGGACACACCTCCAGCTGTGTCAGACACTCAGTGGGCTTTAACTCACACAAATCACAGCGCGGGGGCCCCTGTGTCAGACTCAGGGAGGAAGAGAGGCTTCTGGCGTGCCCGGCAGGAAGAGAGTGGACACGATCTCCTCAGGGTAGATAACAGCGGACACGATCCGCTTAGGTCAGGATAAGAGAGTGGACATGATTCGCTCAGGCCAGGATAAGAGAGTGGAAGCTATCTGCTCAGGGCAGATAAGAGAGTGGACACAATCTGCAGATGGCCCCGACCCACCTGGAGGTGCCACTGTTCTCGGTCAGAAGGGGAGGTGAGAGGCCCTTCGTGCTCCAGGATGCCCAGCTGAGATCTGAGCATCTGCGTGTCCCGCCCTGAGACCTGGCCTCTGGCTGGACCAAGGTTGCCAGTCCCATGGCCAGGTTCCTGGGACACAAAGGAGCAATTTCACAGTCAGCGTCAGCGTCAGGGTCCCTGAGACCAGAGCAGGGCCGGGCCCCGGGCGCCCGGGATACCGTGGCTTGCTGCCATTCTGGGGGGTGCTATGACCTCAGGCTCCTGCAGGAGGCAGAGCCTGCCCCTTGCTCTGGGCTGCCTGTCCCTTAGCTGCCCACGGACGCTGGCCACTGAGAGGGTGGCCAGCGGGCAGGACGGCCGTGCTGTCCGCACCCAGTGGCCCCTCTGGAATGGGCTTTGCCTCCATGCGCACAAGCAAGTGTTAACTCAGCGAAACGGGTTTGTGAGAACCGCTGGGTTTTCACAACGTTGCAGCTGAAACAGTTAGTGTTTTCAGTTTCAGCTGGAAAATTTGCCCTTTAAATATGAAATAAGTTTTTTTTTCCAGTAAGGTAAGCTGGTTGTGGTCAAAAAGAAGAGAAAAGAAAAAAATTAACAAACACAAGCATGTGGTTTTCAAGGAAACAAAAGTGCTACAATGAACATTTATAAATAGTTTATATCAAATAAGCATTTTGGCGAATACGGAAAGGCTGGTGGTGGCCAGGGACGATGCTTGCGGCCACATATGCAAAACTGCCTGCCCCAGGCACCGCCCTCAGGCCAGCTGTGCCAGCTCCGCACAGGGTGAGGTGGGGACTCCAGAGATGGCTGGATCTGGGACAGTCTTCCAGAAGTAAAGGGGAACCCGAGAGCTGCATCCAGCTGCAACCCGACTCACTGAGAGAAATGCTCACACATCTGCAGCTACACCCAGCTCTGCCCTGGTGTGGGCAGGCGCCAGCCCAGGTGAGGGGGCAGCAGCAAGCCTGTGCCCTCAGCAAGTGGGGGTCCCTGCCAGGGGCACTTTGCCCAAATGCACTAAGTCAGGCTCCTTGCACAGTCCGAAGACACCAGCTGAGCCTCCCAGAAGACAGCTGGCTGCGTCATGGAGACACACGGTCAGGAGCACTCACTCCTCAGCTCTCCCCACCAGCCCCTGCCCTGTCCCCTCTCCTAAGGAGAAACTGCCCCCACCACAGCAGCTCTCCTATGAAACACAGCCCCACCCCACCCGCTCCCAGTCCTAAAATGAAAAGCACTTGGGGGGAGGGGTGCAGCCCCTTGACCCCAGAAGGGACCGAGTGACTGTGCCCGAGTGACACAGGCCTGGCTCAGCTGTGGAGACTGATGAACCCAGGGCTGGTGGGGGGTGGGCCGGGGTTGATGGGGTGGGCTGGAGAGAGTGCTGCATGCCCGGAATAACTGAACACAGAGACCTGAGCACACACCATTTTTCTTTCAGAGACACTGCGAACGGTCAGCTTTTTCATGCTTCCAGAAGGAACAACTACAGCCAGTGAGTGCAGGAGCGAGTGAGAAGATCATTTCTTTACTGGCTAAACAGCTGAGGAGAAAACTACCTCCGGGTCCCAAAAACGCAGGGAGAAGACAGAGACACAGAGAAGTGAGTGTCTTGTTTGGTCAGTCTGATTGTTCTTCATTCAATTGCTCTGAAATAAACAGGTACACACACATGCACTCCCATGCACTGCATGCACACACACACACATGTGCATCACATCCACTGCTCACATGCAGGCACACACATTTACACACTTACAATCACATATACGACACATACACTGCCTGCATTCATACACACGCATTCACACTGAATGCACACACTCTCTCGTACATCATTCACTGTGCTCGTGCATTCACACACACCATACACATGCATTTACACACATGCATGCACACATCACATATATTGCACACATGCATTCAAACACATGCATTCATCTTTTGTATGCACATTCTGCAATCACACTCATAAACATGCATCTTATACACTGTACACACATACATACACACATGCATTCACAATGCGACACAAACATATTCACACACATGTGCATCACATACACTGCAACAGAAACATTTGCACACATGCTGCATAAGCACATGAAAGTGACACTGCACAATGCCTTCACACACATTCACACACATGCATTCACAACTGCATGCACACATGCACGCAACCATTCACACACGCATGTTCCCATGGCACACACACTGCATGCACACACCAACATGTACACGTGCATCACATATACTGCACACATGTATTTCACCTCTGCACACATGTATTCACACACATGCATTGACACACCTAACAGTGTACTCCCACACATGCACACACATGCATTCATACGTGAGCACACATGGGCATTTGCACACAATGTACAATGCATGTACAACGTGCACACGCATGTTCACAAACAACACACATGTGCACAATTCACTCACACGGACAGGCATGTAAGGTCTCTCACTCACACCAGCTCCCACCCTGTAGGTTCTGTGGACCTCACCTTGTACACACACGCTGAAGAGCGAGGCCCCTGACCCCCGAGTCAGGTGCCCCCGGCGTGGCCGGTGCTCAGTGTCCCTGGCCCAGAGTAAGTGAAAGCACTGCACTGAGACCCCAACAGTGAGGAGGGGTGACTTGAGCCCCGAATTCTGTGAGAGATGAGGCTCTCTCCTTTGCTGCCACCTGCAGGGGGCCACAGTCCCTGAAACCCTCCGGGCCAGACAGGAAGCAGTGCCTGTGTTCTCTGGGGGGTCCACTCTGTTCCCAGGGCCCTCTTGCCTGTGCGCCATGCTCAGGAGTAATTTGAGCCGCCACCAATACACAGAGGAGGAATCAACCCACGCCTTTCTTTCTTGATCCTCTGAGGACTGTTTCAGGGGTCAAATGAGTCGACGACTCAAATGAACGACAGAGCAGAACAATCTCTGCTTCCTTCAGTGTGTGGTCAGCTTGTCACAGGCTGGGTCTCCAAGAAGAAAAGGCCAACATGTGACTGAAACCCAGAAGCAAACAATCGCGAAAGGCCAGTGCAGAGCTGAGTGCACAGGGCTCAGAGAGGGGAATGAGAGCACTGAAGGTGTGCTGTGCACAGGGTGGAGGGGACTCCCTCCTGCAGTGCTCACCTGTCCTTACCCTACAGAGGGGCTAAATCCACGAGGGTTAAAAAAAATCAGTCTGCAGGGTTGAGGTTAAGGAACAGAATCCAATACATTAAATGTGTACACATAGGTGCGAGCTATTGTTCAACCTTCATGCAGTCAGGTAAATTAAGGTAAAAACATATGAACCTTGTTGTTTTTGCAATTAAACATTTTAACCATAACCAAAACTAGAGAAAGTTCTATTTGAAGGGATACAACTTCTTTTACAATGTATATCAGACACCATTTTAAACCCTTTCGGTTAATAATTGTATTCTCAGAATTAAAGACACAAAGGTGCATGTGGAAATTTGCTCAGATGTTCTTGCACTGTGTGCACTGAGACGAATATGGAAAATCTATGCGAGCATCCAGCGGAGTCCCTGCTAGAAACTGGGGTGGCTCTGATATGTGACATGTAGAAGCTGCAAAATCAGCAACTGGTGAAAACGCGAATGCAAAGAAACATTCCCAGCCTCGCCTCCGCAGCGCTGCGTGCTTCTCTCTGGGTCGCCACATAAACACATAAGCATAAACACTTGCTTGCATCTCTAGTGGGAAATTATGCTGAGGACAAGTGTTTTCTTCAACTGAAAATAATGTTTGAAGACTGCTGTTTTCTCATTGTGTTTAGGCTTGCCCTTCCTGCGACTCTTACGAGAGGAAGCCGCCCGGAGAATTCCTAGAGAGACTAAAATCTCTCCTCCAAAAGGTACGAGGCGAAGGTGTGTGGTCCTGCCTGCCTGTTGTGTCTGCCCTCCACTCAGACCCACTGTTTCTCCACAGATGATCCACGAGCGACTGCCCTAGAGCCGCTGGCACGGCAGTTCCAAAGCCCGAAGGCAGAACTGGACACGATTCTCCACACGCTCACCCCTGGGGACCCACGTCTGCTCTTCCCAGTCGGCTGCTCCAGCTCGCCCATGCCGGGGAGACTCAGACTCAGAGGGAGAACAGGGTGACCCTTCAAATCACTGCAGCACTGTACCTGGGTCTGCGGGTTCTGATACGATCAGCTGGAGACTTCCGCTCAGTCTGAGTCCATTTCCTGCTAGCATTTCCCTGACTTATAGGTGTTTGTTTTATCTTCCTGCCACTCTGAGCTGTTCGTGAATTCGTGAATCTTCCATGACTCTTGATCTCGCCGTCTTGGCAGAACCGAATGGGTACATTTTCTACCTTTATTCAAGCTGAAAGGTGCAGAAACATCAGGTCTAAAGGAAGAGCCAAAGTCCTTGTTCTTTTGAGGAAATGGAGTGCTTGGTGTAAACCTGAGACTTCACCCTTAGTCTCCGGTCTCACTCTAGCCTGCTTACACACCGGGACAGCTTTATCAGCCTGTACAAAATTACTGAAACATGGCAGGTAGGAACGTATTTATGGGATGGACGTCGTCTTCTCTGCTAACTCCAAGGCTCCCCTTGGAAGCGGCCATTGTCAGCTGTGGATGCAGCAGCTGGAATCTGTGGAGGGGCAGTGTCTGGTCTGAGGACACTATGGTTTCCAATGCCAAGGCCTGTCCCACCCGCCTGCAGCCTCCTGCCGGGAATGTGGGAGGCCCGTCCTGATGTGGGTGCAGCCAGCTCCTGGGGCCTGTGCTGCCGAGTGCTTACAGGGCACCTCTGCCCTCTGCGTCACAGACAGAAAGAGCCGGTTCTGGAGCCCTGCTCAGGAGCCAGGTTCTCCTCCACTGTCCCAGAAGCGAGACATCTGCTCCATGAGACGTTCTCCTGCCAGCCCGGCCGCTGCATGGGGGGGGCCTGGGTCTGGGCTGTGCAGTGCTGGCCGGGGGGCGCCGCGGGGAGACCAGACCATCTTCCATCTGTTTCTGGGCCCTTTGGAGTCATACTCAATCACATAGCTGGTCATGCGCACTGCCCGGTGTCTCTGCTCTGATCCTTTCGGGTAGCGATTCTGCCTTGAAAGCCACGATGGTTTCAGGGCAGGGAGAGCCTTGTGGTGCCCGGTCCCGGTTGGACACTGGCACTCACGAGCTCCTCCAGCATTCGGGCCCCAGTATCCCTGGGTATTGCCTCAGAGACCCCACGTGCCCTGAGACAGCCTTGGTGGTCCCAGCAGTGCAGGGTCAGGTGGCAGCACCCTTGGGTTGATGCCTGAGGTGGCAGTCATGGCTGAAGGTGACTAGAAGGGCAGGGAGGACTCGTTGGGAGGCCCCTCTTCCCCAAGTAAGACTATTCCATGGCATTCTGGCGAGCCTGTGACTGACCCAATGCCAAGCGTCCACTATAGACCTTGCGGCCCCGCAGGGAGGGAAACCATAAGGGTATGCATGAGGAAGAGTCCACCTGGCACTTGTCTTTGGGTTCAGGATGAAGGCAAGATGAAAGCCCCCATGCCTGCTGGGGCCTGGCACCCTGCCTCCAGCCCTCCAAGCAGCCTCCCCTGGCTCCCACCAAGTCTGACCCTCAGTTGCGCAAGGTCCCACAATACCACCTGTAGCAAGAACAAAGGAAATAAATTGTACCTCCAGCCCCCCAAAAAGGGAGGGAGAGGGACAAAGGAGGAAGAGGCAAACATGCTGAGGGGCAGAAGAGTTTAGGGAGAACGAATCCGGTCTTTAACATTTGAGCTGCAAGTCTCCTCTGGATACTCAGGATTATTATTCTGTATTATCAGAACAATGTAACGAGCAATTCTATATGATTTCTGTGTGGGTGTTACATCTGAGAACTGAGTTTAATATGAACATTGTATTTTATAACTTAATGATTATTTATTATGTATTTGGTGTTAAATGTTTATGTGCGTGGCTTCTTATTTAAGACCTGATCCGATTAAATTCATGTGGTCAGCACAGCTTTCTTCTGTGACTCCGCAAAACCCTCCCAGCACTGGAGCGGGAAGCAGGAGTGTGGACTGGGCTGTGCGTGGGCCCATCTTGCCCACTTTCAAGCCCCCGTCCCTCTATCCTTGGGGCCGGCCGGGCGGGCTCCTCAGAGCTCTCCCGGCCCACTGGCCAGAACTCCAAATTCCCGGAGTCACCAAGGCAGGGGCCTCAGATGCGGCTCTGGAAAGGCAAGATCAGGCTGTTGGCAGAGTCTGCCCAGGATTCGTGCCTGCTCTGCCTCCTGCCTTCAGTGGGTCCTCAACAGAGGGTGTCCTGGGACCCCACCCTGTCCAGTGTTTGCACTCACTGCACTCCACATACACATACCATACATACCACACATATCACATACATACCTATACTGTACTCACAGCGTACACACACACCATAGCCCTAACACACATACTGTACACATGCTGCACACACACCACACATACTCACCACACAGATACCAACACACATACCACACGCCATACATACTACACAAACACAAGTCCCCCCACCAATCATACAGACCTCACACACACCACACACCACCCCCACACCAATTGCACACAACTCACACTGTACACACATTACACACATACCACACCCCTCACACATCACACACCCCATACTCCACCCACCGAACATATACCACACAACATACACACATACTGCACATACCACACTACACACATCACACACATAACATGCAACATGCATACATGCTATGCAAAACAATGCACACTATACACACAGTGCATAGCATTCACGCACCCACAGACCCTGTGGTGACCCATAGTCACCACAGACTCTGCTCTCTCCTGATCACCAGAGCTGTGCGCACACAGCCCACCAGGGCCCCAAAGCTCCTGTGTCTGGAGGGAAGGTCGGGGACCGCAGACGGCAGCTCTTCTCGATATCTGCTGCCATGTGCACCATATGCACCATATATATACCTCACACCCCACCGCACACACCAAACATACACTATACACACACTCATCACACTATGTACAGCCCATGCACTCCACACCTACCCACACACCACACACACATTCACCACACTCTATAGACACACACTACACACCACACATACACCATATTCTCCCTCCCCCCCCCCCCCACACCCCGCCCCACTGTCCTCACCCACCACACACATGCCTCAGCCTGGTGCCCAGGAGAGAACAAGCTGGAGAGGCCAGGGAGGCATCACTGGGCAGGCCAGCCTCTGGGAGACCACCCCCGCCCTGTGGGGAGGCTCAGGACTTCCCGAGAGCAGAGCGCAGTCCCCATGCACCAGAGACCCTGCTCTCTCCTGATCACCAGAGCTGTGCACACACAGCCTACTGGGGCCCAGGAGCTCCTGTGTCTGGTGGGGAGGTCGGGGGTCGCAGGCAGCAGCCCTTCTCGATATCTGCTGCCAGGTGCCTGCAGCCGTGGGCTCAGGAAGGCACACAAAGCCTCTTCCAAGGCTCCACGAATCCACTAGATGACACACCAGCTGTCCAACATCTGCACATGGAAAATGAGTTCCCACTGCATTAGACAGCCACGGTATGGACCTCACAAGCACAGGGGCCAAGGGCCAGAGGTGCCGAGTGGGGCCCTGGGAGGGAGGGAGCCTGGCCACTCAGATACCCGGCTGCCCCTCCCTCCAGACAGAAGGGAGGACGACGCTCAGCCCAAAGTCAGAATCCTGGGCCAAGGAAAGCCAAAAGGGGACAGCAGGAAACAAGGCCACAGACATCCAGTGCAGCCTCTGGAGTGTTGGGAGCTGAGTGGACAGCACTGACCCACTGTGACCCCGCTGGGGCCTATTCGCAGTGTTCCAGCAGTGGGAAGAGCCTGCCCTGGCAACCACGATCTCCTGCCCTACAGCCCTGGGTGTAGGGGGGCAGGGAATGGAGATGGGTGGGGACAGACACACAGCGTGGCTGCCCGGGAAGTGCTTCCAGTGACCCTGCCCTCTGCGCCCAGCAGGGGGCGTGCCAGCCTAGGCCCAGGCGAGGCCCCTCCAGCCTTCCCCTGCCCAGGGCGGGGGCAGTGTCCCGGGGCTGTGCTTGGGCACTAGACTCCTGTCCTCCACCAGGGACCCGGTACCCCTGCAGAGCAACAGAAAGATGCGACCCCAACCCCAATCTCGCCACCTTCGCCCAACCTGGGCCTGAAGCCCCGAGCGGGCTCCAGAGACCCCAGCGAGCAGATCTTGGCTCATTACTCCACACCCTTGCATTACCCCTTCATGTCATGTCACGCCCCTGCGTGCCCTCCCCACGTCATACCATACCCCTGCACGCCACCCCCCAGTCTCTTCTGGCGGAACACACGCTGTCTCTCTCTGTGCTGTGCCTTTCTGGGCCCAAGGCTGAGTCCTCAGGCTTCGGAGGGCACTGGGCCCTGTCCCAGCAGGAGGTGGTTCAGGCCTGTGGGGGCCCTGTCACCCGCCTCCCACGCCCTCCCCAGCCTGGCCCCCTCCACACACACAGGCAGTCCAGGAGGGCCCCAGGGGAAGGTGGTTCTCCAGGCCCTTCCCCCAGAGACCCTTGATGGCAACCCACCGTCCTCACAGGGAAGTAAGGAACTGAGGAATTCTTAGTTCTGAGACAGAAACCGGGAGCCACCGGTTCACCTTGTTCCTCCAGAGAAGACCCCGAAGTTCAGGACAGAGCCCAGCTGAGACCCCTTTGCTTGATGCATGGGCAGAAACTTCAGGCCCAGACCTTGCAGGTTCCTGTGTGCTGCGCACCTGCCCTGGGCTGGGGAATTCCTGCCTGTGGCCGAGGAGGAGGCGCTTCCTGCCCCTATGGCGCAAGACACTTCCCTGTGGTGCCTCTTCCAGTAACCAGCATCCTGGTGTTTGCCACTGAGTCACCCGCCCCTGCAGCCACCAGCGAGGCGGCTGCAGACCACATGGAAAACCATCCCCCAGGAAATGGAAGCTGCGCCGAGTGACATCACATGGCTCAGGTGACCGCAC